ACAGAAAAAACCAAACACCACAGAAAACATTACTCTTATAATCTGTATATTTTGATTCATTTTATAATAGACAAAAATCAACTGGTGTAATCAAAGCAGCAGATATATTGACAGTATAAAGCTCTGAAAACACTGGATCCTACATTTCCCATAATGCAACTTGCCAGCATCTTTTATTTAACCCCTCTGTGCCTGGTAAACAGTTGGTAAAGTTCGATTCGCAGACTCTGTTCTACGTTTGTAGTCTCCAACAACCTCAAACTGAAATTTCCCCAATGACATCACTATGACATCAGAGACGACGTCACACAGCGGTCTCCACAGGCTGATCTGATGATAATCAGTAAACTGATCTTAATGTGTGCAATGGAGGGAAGTGACACTTCAAGACAAAACAAAAGAGATGAAAATTGTATTCTGTCTAATGGCCAGCAGGGAGCAACTCCTGCAGTTTGCAGGTAATGGCCAGGCATGGGTAACCTCGGTCTGAGGGTCATAGGCAGGGCTTACCTGGATTTCGGCAGGGAGATGGGTGCAGCCAATTTAAGTAGAGATGTCAGCGCAGCAGCTCATTTCTCATCAACCCGGTTTTATTGCTGAGGAATACCGGATAGGGGTGGAGCAGGAAACCTCAGGCTGGAGCAGCACTGATGGAAGGGTCTGAGGATGGCCAGACAGCGAGAGCCGTTCTGGTGGTTTACCAGGAGGTTGGCGACGTAGGCAGGACCGCACTGGAGGATAGCCGGACAGCAGAGAAGGACAACTGGGCACCCAAAATATTATGTGGAGTGCTGCAGCAGAATGCGTGACTATAGATGAGTGGACAGACACAGAGGTGCACAAACAAACCCACACTCACTCACTCACTCAATTGCATGATCTGGAGATAATCTCAGCCATGTCATTTAATTTATCTCATAGTAAATACCTTTGCTCTTTATATTGTTGTATCCATTGTTTTCTGATGATCAGGACTTAACTGTCTCGTGATATGATGACGTGTATTTACTTTCATTATCTCTAAGTGGACAGTAAAAGGGGAACACCCCCACCTGAGCACCTGATGGGTGTATTCGTCATTCAACAGATGTGGGCGTCAAATGACACGAGTCATATGACATTCCTAAGTACTATTAGGGAGTAGTAGGGACAGTCAGGGGGATAAAAATAATTTCCGGGAGATTTCCAGAACATAGTCAAAATTATTTAAAAAAAATCATAATCTTTTGAAAGGGCGGAACTCAACGTGGGCGGAGTCAAACGTTGAGCGCAGCCCAGCGTGTTCAATTTTGATCAGCAGATCAAACTCGATGGAGAGAAGTCACAGAAAGGAGGAAATACTGCGAACACAGGTAACACTGGGATTGCTGGAGGACTGAAATACTGCTACTGTAAGCTGCTGCTGATTTCTCTCTCACACACGTCTATATGCTGGAGGCAGGAGATTTAGTGGAGCTACGTGTCAAAGTGAAAGTAAAACTTATTTCTGTGTGTTCTTTTTTTAGCTTCACTCTGAGACAAAATGGCTTCACGATCAGAAGAGGATCTCTGCTGTCCTGTTTGCATTGAAATCTTTAAAGATCCTGTTATTCTGTCGTGTAGCCACAGCTTCTGTAAAGACTGTGTGAAGAACTGGTGGAGAGAGAAACAAATACAAGAGTGTCCAGTTTGTAAGGAAAGACATTTATTAAATGATCCACCTCGTAACCTGGCTTTAAAGAACGTGTGTGAGTCCTTCATACTGGAGAGAGATCAGAGAGCTTCAGAGAGTCTCTGCAGTCTGCACTCTGAGAAACTCAGACTCTTCTGTCTGGACCATCAGCAGCCGGTGTGTCTCGTCTGCAAAGAATCAAAAACACACAACAACCACAGATTCAGACCCATCGATGAAGCTGCAGAGGATCTCAAGGAGGAGATCCAGGAATCCCTGAAGCTCTTAAAGGAGAAACTGAAGCTTTTTAAACAAGTTAAAGGAAACTGTGATCAAACAGCAGAACAGATGAAGGTCCAGGTCGGACACACAGAGAGGCAGATTAAGGAGCATTTTAAGAAGCTTCACCAGTTTCTAGAGGAGGAAGAGGAGGCCAGGATCTCTGCTCTGAGGGAGGAAGAGGAGCAGAAGAGTCAGATGATGAAGGAGAAGATGGAGGCTCTGATCAGAGAGATAGCAGCTTTTTCAGACACAGTCAGAGCCACAGAGGACGAGCTGAGAGCTGAAGACGTCTCATTCCTGCACAACTACAAGGCTGCAGTGGAAAGAGTCCAGCAGCGCCTCTTGCTGGAGGATCCACAGCTGCTCTCAGGAGCTCTGATAGACGAGGCCAAACACCTGAGCAACCTGAACTACAACATCTGGAACAAGATGAAGGAGATGGTCTCATACAGTCCTGTGATTCTATATCCAAACACTGCTCGTCTAGCACATCTCAATATGGTAGCCCCCCCCCATAGGCAATCTGGCATGGCAGCCGCCCGGGAGGCGGCAGCCGCCTGGGCAGCCGTCGCCCGCACCCCTCCTTCTGGCATGGCAGCCGCCTGGGCAGCCGCCGCCCGCCCCCCCTCCCTCTTGCATGGCAGCCGCCGCCCGCCCAGGAGGCGGCAGCCGGCGCCCGCCCCCCTCCCTCGCCCTAGGCCATCTGGCCCCCCCTAGGCGATCTGGCATGGTCGCCATCCCTCCCTCTCTCCCTCATCTCCCTTATGGTCGCTCCCTCATGGTCGCCCCCCACCCCCACCCTCTCTCCCTCATGGCATGGCATGGCGCCCCTCGCTGCTCCTCCTCCTCCCTCGACTATATTCTAAGCTTCACAGATCACGTTAAATTGACTCTAATACCTTTACTCATCTCATCTCTTCCGTCAGTCTAACTTTGTTTTAGGTGTTATTAAATGTCAATCACTCTAGCCTACTCAACACTTGCGTCACTCGCTCGCAGACGAAGCCGTTTTTGAGCGCGAGCCGGCAGCACCTCTACACACACAATCACACACCCAGCATGCAACACTACTGATGCCACTGATGTTCACACCCCATCGTATGTTCTGTTCTGTTCATTTCTACAATATAGTTCATACTAATTCTACCCTCTGATTCCAGTTTCGTTATTGTGTGGTCTTTCTCTGCTGACATTCATTCCTTAAAGGCTCTATATAGTTATACGTATGGCTAGCTGGCTGGGGCGCTGGCGAAACTGCCCCAAAGAGGCGGGTCTATGAAGCAGTTTAGCCAATGATGCTTTAATGCCGATTAAAGATATAAATGAGTGACATACAATTTAGCCAATCAGCGTCCTCAAATAGATTCTGCCCCAAGCTGCACGTTCCCGTCCGGACTAGTCTCTACAGGAGAGCGCGAGCGCCAGCGCGAGCACTCCTCCAAGAGCCGTTTGAGAGGAGAACTTTGAGGAGAAACACAATCAGACAGCAGACTAGCGGGAAAGGGAAGCAGTACATGAAGCTTCTCTCCTAGCGGAACACCAGGCAGGTTTGGCTAGCTGGATGACGTCATGCTAATAACTTATTTAGCTTTTTAAAACAACGGGGACAGATCCAGCACGGACAGTTAGGGACAGAGAGACATGAAGCACCTGCTGAGACATGATATATAGTTATAAATAAATAATTATATATATGTGTGTGTGTGTGTGTGTTTTATATTATAGTGAATATTATGATATATATATATTATTATACTATATATATATATATTATACGATATATATATTATTATATTATACAGAATATTATTATATGATATATATATATATTATTATATTATACTGAATTCCCTGTGTGGGTGACAAAAATAAGATGTCCTGACGTGTTTGTCAAAGTGTTATTTACTGCTTTTTTTCATGTTGGAATAAAAGTTAAATATTTAACTGCAAAGTAGTAATGCGTGTTTGATACCTTAATTTTTTTGCATTAAATCATTCTGGGATGTTTGCTGAAATTGATTGGATGTGGCACAGCCCTACCGTGAACATTTTCCACCAGCCACCACTGCGTATAACCATCTGATACTAGCCCAGAGTTAAGCATATTCATCTAGCTAACTATAACTCCCCTGGAGTGTTACAATAGCCAGTATCATTTTATTCCATGTGTCCATCCAGGCAAATAGGTGGATCCAAATGTTATTAAAAAAAACATATGTGATGTAATTTCTTTGTAATCATCAAAAATAATGTTAAGTGTATGGGTATTTTTCCAAGTAGGCCACTGATTGGTCGATATGTGCGATGCATTGAGTGGGCAAAGCGCCGTGCATTGAGTGGGCCGGTCTGACAGTAACTCCCGGGCCACTTTTTTCCCGCAGTCCGCCCCTGTGTGTGACATTGTGACATGCCTGACCTGTTTTACGAACCAATGAGGATCTCAAGTTCGTTCATTGTGCGGTCTGGTATAGTAGTAGGAAATGCTCAGAAAACCCGTCATGTGACACATCAGTGATACTAATCAAGTTCTAGGAGTGAAACAGAAAAACATTTAATGCAATTTGGAGTTTTGATTTTCCTTGTTTCCTCTGGTTTTTGATTTAAGGCAAATGTCTGATTACATAAATTAAGAGTGTCAGTGTTTCAGGAACAACCATGTTGCTGTGACAATCTGAGCATTAATTATGTCAGAATATTGTGAACATATATACATAATACAGACACAGTTATTATCTCCAATGAATTCATTTGTATTGTCTTTCTTGGGGGGGCGGGGGGGTGACTCATTGTAAGGAATCATATTCTTCGACTTGCTTTTTGGGCAAGTTGATCATTTTTTTATTATTTTGCTTTTATAGTTACAATTTAAGTCTACACTGTCAATGGTTGTGTTATTAGAGGCATTACTTATTTTGAACTTGTGAAGAGTTTAAATTCAATCTTGATTTTGAGCTAAAAGTTAAAATCTAGAAGATCTGTTTTGTTCTCTTTGGTGACACCTGTGGCGATACGTGGTAATTACAGGTGTTTTGTATCCGTTCACCACTTGTGCTTTTTCCGGGGAATGTTGCACACATGTGATTTAAAAACGAAAACATTAAAGTCAAAATGGTTTCACACTAAAATGTGTTCAGAAATTTTTTGCAACGATCAAAACAATTTTTAAATACAAGAGAAATGATGTTTTGACATTGACGTCGTTATATTTTAAAAGTAGCTATAATAAAATAAGTCTTTAATATTTCAGGAATGAAGTTGTAATACAAAGGAAAAAATATCCTATAATCATATATCTGTGTACAGTTTGTCGCTAGGAGATGAGCGGCTGTTGTCATTGAGTATATTTTGAGATAGATCACATCCTAAGTAAATCATATTTTATCATATTTAGCTTTATCTCAAACGTTTTCTGAAGATCAGACCTTATTGTCCAATTTGGAAACAAGCGTCTACGCTTCATATTCAATATAAGAAAGGTTTCATATTTAAGCTTTATATCAACATCACAGAAGAGAAGAGGATAAAATTCACTTCAATTTAATTTCTTTTATGGGAACCATTTCTCCCAAATAAAAAAAGATCAACTGTTGTTTCTCTAACAGAAAAAACCAAACACCACAGAAAACATTACTCTTATAATCTGTA